ATTAAATTACTGGAAGTACTGACACATTATAGTACACATTATAGTACATTACAGGAAATACTGACACATCCTCTAATGAATGGAATTTGACGAATCCTGACATAAAAGGGCACAAACAGGGCCGGAAGGTTAAGGCTCATGCCCTGAGGAACTCCAGCTCAGCCCTCGGCACCATAGAGTTCCCCCAAGTATCACGAGCATAGCCATGGAGCCCCCCAAGCACCACTGGTATGGCTTGGAAAATCACCAGTACTGCAGGGCCCAACAGCACCACATCTTAGGGCCCTCGCACTGAACTGCTGGCCTGGTTGGCTGAGAATCACAGAAGTGGTCCAATGGGTTCCTGATCACTGCTTGGGAGGTAACCCCACACCCCAAAATAAAAGGCTAGAAAAGATTTCATTTTTATGAAATGTCCAGAAAATAGATTGATTCCTGGGTGGGGGCAGGAGTGATTAATGTCAATAAGCACAGTGCTTTCCTTTAGAAAAACATGAAAATGCTCTGAAATTGGATGACATTAATGATAGCACAATCTTGTGTTCTTCCTTGATGTATAATGAAGGTATGACCCAATAAACCATCATAAACTAAAGCAGCATATGTAGGGGAAAAATGCATTTAATATGGCTAACCTATTGGACATCACCTTGCGTCCCTTAAATGTGCTCAGAATAATTACATTACAGTTGGGCAATTTTGAATTTTGATTCATCCCTGGCTGGCAATACACAAGACAAAGTCCTGGTGCTAGGCAGTGGCAGTAAGTTGAAGCTCTCAGTTATGCAATCACGAGGGCAAACTATCAACACTATTCAGCAAGTGTTTCCCAAAGTAGATGACATCACCTCCAAGCAGGGGTACACTGGAAGGATTCAGCAGGCGAGGGGAGAGCTACCAGTAGTAGCCTCAGGTACAATTCCAGGGTGTTTTCTGTTTACTTAGAGAAGGTTCATTTTCAAAGGCGCACTGAGTAATTTTTTTTCCTGGAAAAGGGATGGTTGGCCAAATAAGTTTGGAAACCTCTATAATAAACTATGTTGTGACTATTTTTTAGATAATGTATTTTGTGTTTGAACATCCTACCAAAAAGTCCACAAAAAGTATGACTTCCACTGAATTCCTATCACTTTAACATGATCAAGAATTTTTTATTATGTTAAGCCACCATAAATTAGAATTGATTATATACTGAAATAACAAAAATTTAGTAATTAAAAAAGGGTAATGTGTGGTCACTGGATAACTTAAAATCTTCATTAAATAAGGTATACAGGTTCTTTGCAACTTAAGCAAAGAAACATATAACAAAAGCAGGTTTTTGAATATTGTGCTTTCGTTTAATACCAGCCATGATTTCTCCCCCCTTCATCAATGTTAAAACAAAACAAGACAGAATGAAATGATATTAATAAAGGACATGTAAGTCAGAGAGATACATACAGTAAAACCTTGGGTGCCCAAATCAATATCCAGGACTACATATGGTCTCAAGACTTCCAGGAGCACAGAGTCAGGAGAAAACGCTGCAATGCCAGGTGTGGCCCCCTCCAAAAGACATGCTGTATATCTAAAATTAAACTTGCTTTTGCTTGAGGGCTTTTGCCTGCCTCTGTGCTCAGTGATAACTTCTGGTGGGATTGGGGGACTGACCATGCCGGATGCCGAGGACCAAACCAGCGTTGGCCATGTGCAATGCAGGTGACCTAATTGCTGTACGATCTTTCTGGGCCCTAAATTTCAGTATTTCAGTTTTGTTAAAAATAGCTTGATTCTCTGGGATATATTCCCAGGAGTGGTATTGCTGGGTCAAATGGGAGCTCAATTTCTAATTTTTTGAGAATCGTCCGGACTGTTTTCCAAAAGGGCTGAATCACTCGGCATTCCCACCAGCAGTGAAGGAGGGTCCCTTTCTCGCCACATCTGCGCCAGCACCGGTTTGTTGCTTTTGTTCTCATGGATGTGGGCCGGGTATTTGATCATTGTTTAATTGAAACCCAAGCACAAAAATTTGTAAGTTTACAACTGTACCTCATGGTGCCTCACTAATAAAAATTAAATAAATAAAAATAAAGAGCTAAAAGGAGCAGCACACACAAAAAAATCCTACATCTTTAGTTTATGTGCATATTGGAACTCTAATATTTTTCTAATGTTAATGTTTTCTCAATAATACCTGATATTTTACTGAGTGATTAAATGTGATAATATATGTAAAAAATAGCTTGATTCTACTGGGTTATGCTTTTAGGACACATATATATCAGACAGATATTCTAAATACTCTAGAATTAATTTTATCTTACCACTGAGTACCAACTAGTCTGTGAATTATAAAGCATTTTGCTCTGGTGGTAACAATAACTATAATTAGTTGGAAAAGAGTCTCAACGGATTATCCAAATTGATTCAAGTGGTTCTTTCTCTACCCTCAACTACCTCCGTATGATGGCTGCACTAGCTGAAGACCCAACAGGGCCTCTGCACATCTCAGGAGTTCTCTGTGCACGCAGCTCTCTCCACTTCCGTGTGCTGCTGCTCTGTGAACTCGAGCCACCTTGGAGGCCATAATATCCCCGCTCTAACACATCGACTCAGGCAAATCTCTAGCTGCTGAAAATCTCCAGGCAGTAAACTTTAAGAACAGTGAAGCACTTGTCCGGTTTTTAAAGACAATTGCTCAGGGATCACTGAAGATTGGTATGACCCAATCACTTGAAAATTTCATGTTTCATAAAAATTTATTCAACTATCTGAGTACTGAAGTTATTCCACCTTGGCTAGAAACAATAGTTTCTTATTAAATCTATTAATAATCTTTACAAAGAACAGTATCTTCTTTGTTGACTTTTGCTTTCAATTTTTTTTTTTTTTTTTTTTTGCTTTTTGGGTCACACCTGGCGATGCACAGGGGTTACTCCTGGCTCTGCACTCAGGAGTCACTCCTGGCGGTGCTCAGGGGACCATATGGGATGCTGGGAATTGAACCTGGGTTGGCCGCGTGCAAGGCAAACGCCCTACCCGCTGTGCTATCTCTCCAGTCCCTTGCTTTCAATTCTGTTGACTCTAATTTTTATTTCCTCTTCAGGTTAATGTGATTCTTTTTTTTCTACATATTTAAATCATTATATTCATTAATGCTATCCTCTAATAATGCCATTTTAAGGCTAATACTTTCAACTCTACCTCACAGGCTTTGAGTGTTTCAAACCAATAAAAAGTATTTTCTAATTCCTATTTTGCTTCTTTTTTGGTTCATAGTAACTTAAAATGCTACTGCTTAATTTGCAAACTTTGAAGAATATTCTTATCTTTTTTGCTATTGCTTCTACCTTAATTTCATTATGCTGAAAAAATTTACCTGCATGCTGGTCTTCTAAAATGTACTAGGACTGGGGGCTGGAGCGATAGCACAGCGGGTAGGGCGTTTGCCTTGCACGCAGCCAACATGGCCGACCCGGGTTCGATTCCCAGCATCCCATATGGTCCCCCCGAGCATCGTCAGGAGTAATTCCTGAGTGCATGAGCCAGGAGTAACCCCTGAGCATCGCCAGGTGTGACCCAAAAAGCAAACAAACAAAAAAAAATGTACTAGGACTTTCTCTCTGGTCTAGCAAAAATAATATAACATAATCAGCTAGGATATTGATAAAATTAGTATTGGGCAAACAGAGGTTTCATTTGGTAAAAAGAGTAACATTAGCAAACAACTAATAAAAAGCTGGTATGCTTTGATTCACAGGCTATCACTCTTTCTGAAGTTGAATATCTGGGGTGATTTCTAACTATACTAACTATGGTCTCTGAAGACCACGAACTGCAACTTTTGGTCTCCCTCCTTTGAGAGAATTGTGGCTAGTGAAAAATCCTAAGTTGTCTATATCTTAGTACACATAAACACAGGTTGAATGAGTAAGTGCACAAAGTGGATATTGCATCCAAGAAACTGAACTCACTTCTTTTATGCCTTGGGATCTTGTTTCTCCAGCCCTATCTATTAAGTGCACTGCAGCATACACTTCCTCCCATTGTTCATCGATTTGCTCGAGCTGGCCCAGTAACATCTCCACCGTGAGACTTGTTGTTACTGTGTTTGGCATATCGAACACGTCACGGGTAGCTTGCCAGGCTCTGCTGTATAGGCAAGATACTTTCGGTAGCCTGCCGGGCTCTCCGAGAGGGACGGAGAAATGGAACCTGGGCGGACCTGGTCAGCTGCGTGCAAGGCAAATGCCCTAACCGCTGTGCTACCACTCCAAACTCCAATTTTTTTTTAAAAATCTCCCTATTTCAGTGACTCATCTATACTGCTGATTTCTATACCATCCACTGAGAATTGGGGAATGTCCCAAGAAAAAACTGTGCAACTCTTAACTCACTGTTTCCACTTATTGCTGCGTTTTATTAACTCCTGGATATCCAATTCTGCAATTTATTTCGTCTTTTTTTTTTTCTGCTTTCAGTAGCAGAGAGGTTATACAGATAGGGAGATGGGTTAATCTGATACTATTGCACTGTACTTGAAAGCAAGTGTCCCAAAACTTCAGGTTCTTTGATTCTTAAGACTTGGCCATAGAGCACCAGAATAACTATTTTCTATCTATCACAATTATCTATGCTTAGGGATCAGTTATCTCCTTTAACTACCACAAAGGAAAAGTATTAGATATTCCTGAGTGAAACCCACCAAACTGGGTCCCATTAGGAACAATTTTTTAAAAAGTATTTATTTCTGGAGGATTGTTGTTTTGGGAGCTATGCCTGGCAATGTCTGGGGGACCTATGGGTTGACAGAGATTGAACTCGGCACAAGGCAAAAACCTTGCTCATTGTACGCTCTCTCTGGTCCCAAAAGTACATATTTCTGGGCAATATTCACAAGGATAAAGAAGATGAAATCATTCTCTCTCCCTCTCAGATTAGCACCTGGATTAGTTAATGTCCTGAAACAGTTGGATCACCATTCCAAACCAAATGGAATTTGACACTCTTCTGGGAAGTGGGGTAGCAAAACTTACTATCAAACTCCACTCACTGGGCCAGAGATCCCTGTGACATTAGCGAAAAACTTGACCCTCATTTAGCATACTACCTACATGTGAGAGTTCATTGACCAACCAGTGACCTCAACTTCAAGTTCAAATAATATACAGGGAAATTGTTATTTGTTTTTTAAATCTCTTAGATGGGCGATCAATAATCTTGAAACAAATTAATTCAAAAAATGCTGAATCGGAAATTCTCTCAGTAGGAATTGATGATGATAGTGTCAAGAATTTAGATCAGGGGCTGGAGCCATAGTACACTGGGTAGGGCGCTTGCCTTGCACACGGCTGACCTTACTCATTGTTTGATTCCCAGCATCCCATATGGTCCCCTCATTTCCACCAGGAATGACCCCTGAGCACAGAGCCAGGTATAAGCCCTGAACACAGCTGAGTGGGGTGCCAAAACTAATAAAAATAATAAAGAATTTAGATTAACACAGAACAATAAGCATCTTCAAATTTCTGCAGAATATATTTTTTTCAATTTGGGTAAAACCCAAAACATGGATTCAGTTTTTATGCTGTGAAGTGAGGGATAACCAAATTTCTATCACCTTAAACTCACCTACACAGAACTCTACTGCTATTTAAAGAGGCAGTAAATGTTTTACTCAATGACATTTCAAAAATGTTTAAAAAGATGCAATTACTTTGTTAGTCACAGTGTTGATTGCCAGAGTTGGAGAGGCACTTCCCGAAATAATACACTCCATTCCCAAAGAATCTGAATCTATGCTATATGGAGTTGAGGCCTAAAATACAAGAACAAAATAATTATTAGCTTATATATCCAGCAACATATATAAAGGTATTTCATCAAATTTCCAAATATCTGGTTTTATATTTTATTTCCAAAAATAATCTACCATTGAAATTCCTCCATTATATATTATTTTCTTCTGGTTTGGGGCTATACCTGGTGGTACTCAGGGGACCATAGAGTAATGAGGATTGAACCCAGGCTTCTTGCAGGTAAGGCACATGCAATCTCTCCTTCCCTCTGTACTACATTTTAATTGTCTTGGGAACCACAATAAGCAGTACTCAGGGACTACTCCAGGCTCCGCACTTAGTATTCACTCTAGGCAGCACTTCAGAACCACATGTACTGCCAGGGATAGAACCGGAACTGGCCACGCTTGGGGTTCGTGCCTAAAGCCCTGTATTATGTCTTCAAGTGCATAAACTACTTTTCAGTATAATGATCTCATATCACCAACTCCACTGGTAGGACTACTCCTTACCAACTCTTGAGTGATGGTGGAATAAGTTAGGAAAAATTATAAACTTTTCTTGCAGAAATCCTAAATATTTATATCACATTCTTTTTCCTCTTACTTGTATGTTTGCTTTCTAGGCCACACCCAGTTTTCAGGGGCTACTCCCAGTTCAATGTTTGGGGGATCTCACATGAAAAACATGCACTCCAACCCCTTGAGTTATCTCCCAAGACCCCCTCTCCCTTTCAATAACAGAACTCTACACCCATCAGCTCAGAGTCCCCAGTGAAAGACCACCTTTTCTAAGTTGTATAAACAACTAGCTGGGACCCTATCACTAAGGTTTAACCAATAATATGCATGTAAGCAAAAGCAATGTACGTCATTTTTGGGTCATTATCTTTGAAAGAAAGAGCTTGTTCTCCACCTATTTTTTCCTTTATTTTTATTAGTATTTTATATAATGAATTATTATGTTATTCATTATTATAAATATTATTTCCTTTATATTTCCAATATATTCCTATATTGCAGGTAGGGACACATATCTAGCGATGGTGATTTTGTTTACCCACAAAGCTGAGGGTAATACTTAAGGGGAAAACTAGAAGACAAGACTAGAAGAAACATGATCTCTAAAGTATATTTTTATGAAGTGTGAAACATATATCGGCATGTAAACTGTTACCTTAATTAAAAAAACAAAAACGTCTTTTCTTAAAAAAAAAAGGACTAGAAGATCACTGAAGCTGCTGATACACTGGGAAGCAGAAAAACACTAATCAGTTCAACATAATGAACTCATTCCCCCATCTTTTCAAAAAGAAACAGGGGTCAGAGAGATAAAACAGTGATTAAGGTGCTTGCCTTGTACATAGCTGACCTGGGTTCAAACCCCCGGGTACCTCATATTTTTGCCTGAGCCCAATAAGGAGTAATTACTGAGTACAGAGCAAGGAATAATCCCTGAGCACCACCAGGTATGGACCAAACAGACGGGAGGGGTGGAGAGAAGCGGAGGACACAGGCACTTGAATAATCTTGGGATCAAAACTAGTGATTTCTCTGCTCCACCTAAGTGGAGCTCTCAGCATAAGTTCAAACACACTGTTTAGAGAGCTAACATGGATACCCAGAATTTGAGTTTTGACCGTAATAGTTATCTGAGTAAGTTTTGGAATGTCTAAATCCACTGGTTTTACTAATCACATTACTCTGTTGTCAGATAATAATAGAATCAGTTTACCTACAAAAAAAAATGTATATACACACACACATATACCATACTACTAAATACATCAAAGTATGTTAAGAATGTCCTTTATTCTTTTACTAAATCCAGTAACTGGTGGCACCAATTAGATTATGAAAGATCCTTTCTGGGGTCACAACTTACCCCATCAAAATCCTACCCATTCCAGATCCACTTTCACTACCACTATGGTAGTGTGATATCCCTACAGATTAACCTCTGCTGACCATAAACATAAATGTGAAAGGGAGGCTAAGGGATTAAAGAAAAAAAAGCTGCAAATTCTGCAGAAGTAAAAACTATGGCAAGACTGGCACGTCAACTGACTGTTTTATTATAGTGAAAGAAATTCAAAAGGTAAGGTAGATGTACAGTGTGAACAGCTGAATTTGTTAGAGGATACCAAGGAAAAGAGATGGGGTAAACAGCTAGTAGCTGGAGAGAGAAGGTAATTCCACAAGGGAAGTAAAAGAAGAACTACTAATTCTGTATGTGAAACATAACTAATGCATCAGGCTGACCCCACAACGGTGCACATCCGTATTAGAATAAAGCAAAGGCTTAAAGAAGCTAACTGAGGGGCCAGAGTAATAGTACAGCAGGTAAGGCACTTGTCTTGTACATGGCTGACCTGAGTTGAGGGATTCCCAACACCCCATAAAGATCATCCAAACCCCAGCAGAAGTGATCCCTGAGGCCAGAGCCAGGAGCAAGCCCTGAGCACCACCAGGTGTGGCCATAAAACAAAACAAAAATTTTGACTGAAATAGGAACCACTCACTGCCCATGAAGGAAAGAACTTACATAAATTGAGTTTTAACATGCTCACCTATTATCTATAATAAAAAATGTCAATATTTCACAAATTTTTTTTAACAAATCCAGAGTCTCTAAAGCATTCACAATGTCCTGACACAAAAATAACAGAAGAGGTGGAGAATGGGCACTGGTGGAGGGATGGGTACTCAATCATTGTAATACTGAAACCCAAGCACAAAAAATTTTAAGTCTACAACTGTACCTCATGGTGTTTCACTAATTTAAAAAACACACACACACACAGAAAAATGTAAACTACTCTCAAGAGAAAAGCCTTTCTGTAGGTATCTACCCCAACAAGACTGAGACAATAGAATGGTAAGACAAGGCTTTTTAAAGTAGCTATTATAGCCGAGATAAGTACCAGGAGGTTCACTCCATGGCTTGGAGGCCAGCCGCACACGCTAGGGGAAAAGGCAGCTCAGATAGAGAAGGGAGCATCAAATAAAGGGTGTTGGGAGGATCCTCCCAGGATGGGAGAAGCATGCTGAAAGTAGACTCTAGACCGAACATGATTGCCACTCAATGCCTCTTTTGCAGACCACAGCACCCAAAAGGAGAGAGAGAACAAAAGGGAATGCCCTGCCACAGAGGCAGGGTAGGATGGGGGAGATGGGGGGATGGGAGGGATACTGGGATCATTGGTGGTGGAGAATGGGCACTGGTGGAGGGATGGGTATTTGATCATTGTATAACTGAACCCCAAGCACAAAAAACTGTAAGTCTATAACTGTACCTCATGGTGTTTCACTAATAAAATTAAAAAAAAAAATTTTTTTAAATTTAGAATATGATCAAGTCTTAGAAACCTTCCACCAACTCTTCCACAAGTATTATCTTCCTTGAAAGTTACTGTGTTTATGACTGAGTGCTTTGTTCTTGGATCAGTTTTACTTTATAACTGGAAAAAAACTCATTTATTGTCAAAAAATAAAGTAGCTATTATAATTATACTCAGTGATGTAAGAACAAAAAAAAATCACTGGAATAAAAGCATAAAAGAAATGGCAGTGGAGATATAAAATTTTTTAAAAATTTACAAATGGAAACTGGGGCTGGAGAGATAGTACAGTAGGTAAGGTTCTTATCTTAAACATGGCTGAGCAGAGTTCAATCCCCCGCATCCCATATGGACCCAAGCACTGCCAAGAGTGATACCTGAGCACAGAACCAGGAGTAAACCCTGAGCACCACCAGGTGTGGTCCCAAAACTAACAAACAAAATAGAGGAAACAACCTTAGAATAACATTCTTTTTCTGAATTCACATAGATTTTCACCAAGATACACACACACACACACACACACACACACACACACACACACAAACACACAAACAGAGAGACAGAGATAGAGAGCGCAAGTCTCAAATATGTAAAGATCAAAATGGTTAAAAAAAAAAAGTTGTGATAAGGATGCCCATAGGATGGCCCAGTTGCAAAGAGTCTGCCTTACACATAAGGCTGTGCACTGGGGGATCCCTAGTGCCAGAACTATGTATGAAGCACAGTCTTGGTAGACTTGGTAGAGTAGGGAAGCTTCCGACCATGGCTAACTGCGCAAGCATCATAACTAAAAAGTGTACATTTACTAATGGGGTGAAACTAAAAAGACGTGTGAGCACTGTGGATGTAGTGCAACCCCTGGCAAGCATGTGTGAGTACTACAGTGACCCCCAGCAAGCACAACAACCAAACTTGTACATGTACAACATGCACAACAAAAGGAGTGTGATCATCAGTGAACACCACAGCCATGTAGGTGACCATAACCATATGCACAAACAACACAACTAAGCATTGTGTTTGACCCCTGCTCACTGCCACTAGAGCAGCGGCAAAAGGGAAGGGAAACAAATGGTAAGATATATATAAGTTATGGTATCTTGGAAAACCAAATATTGAAAACCAACTAACACATTATAAGATTTCTGGGATCAGAAAAGACAAGAAAAAAAATTAAGACAGACCTGGTTTTTTGAAAAAACTAATTGACAACCACTTAAAATAACAAAGGAAAGAACATACATCACCAATATCATGAATCAAAGGAATAATTAGTACAGTCAATAAATATTAAAATGAGAATATTACATATCACTTTGGAGCGACAAATTCAACCACTTATATGAAAATAAAACCCCTTAAGGAATAGAATTTATAAAAACTGGTATAAAGGGAGAAAATTTGAATAGTACCAAAAACTTTCATTCACCCAAAAAAAAAAAGTCCCAGATGGTTTCATTACAAATTTTTTTCAGGGAAGACATATCAATCTACAGGAACGTATTCAGAAAAGAAAGGAACAACTGATCAACTGGATTATAAAGTCAGTACATATAGCCCTCGGGTCGGCCATGTTGGCCGCTTGTAAGGCGAACGCCCTACCGCTGATAGCACAGCGGGTAAGGCGTTTGCCTTGCATGCAGCCAACATGGCCGACCTGAGTTCGATTCCTCTGCC